TTTTAGACAAGGTCTCCCTTGTAGCCCCAGCTGGCTTAGGCCCTAGAACTCACTATGCAGACCAGGCTGGCTTCGCTCTCACAGAGGTCCACCTGCCTCTGACTTCCAAGTGCTGGGACTAAAGAAGTATGTCACCATCCCTGGCTTTAAAAAATATAATTTAAGGAAACAAAAAAGGCCAGGGTTGCTGGCTCCATAGTAGAGTGCAGGCTTAGCCTACTAGAGGAGCTAGGATTGTCCTCACATAAAACAAACAAAAACAATGACAACAAAACTATGGACATTTAAAACATATAGGACTGATCGAACAGAAGATTAGGCACAATTCTAAACAATAGATTAGAAGACACATGTTGAAGCTGGGTGTGGTGGCACAGGCCTTTAATGCCAGCATTCAGGAGGCAGAGGCAGGCAGATCTCTGTGAGATTGAAGCCAGCCTGGTCTACATAGTGAATTCCAGGTCAGCTCGGGCTACAGGCAGACCCTGTCTCAATAAACAAAAACAAGAAAAGAAGACAGATACTGAAAAATTGCCATAATATATGGAAACGGAGAAGTAGAAAGCATGAAAGAGCAATTATAAAACAAAAGTCAAATATGAATGAATGTCTCAAACATCTGTTTGAATCTCCAAAAGAATAAAGAAAATTGGTGAGCAGCAATATTGGGATAATGGCTCAGAATATTCAAATAATATGAATCTTAAGATTTAGAAAATGATCTCGGAAGGTAGGTCAGGGACAAAAGGGGGAGTAGTAAAGCTTTGTGAAGTCTGTATATAAATGTAAATATTCCTTGGCTATAAAGTTTGCTTTAAAGAATAAAATAATTTGACTGGTGGTGAGTCATTATGTTTGTGGTAACTTGAGGCTTTGCTGGTTTACTTTCTTCTGTAGGTGCACAGAGGACGGGTGTCCACATAAGAAGTTCTTTCACACACGTTTTCTCATGAGGATGAGATTAACACCAGATTGTTCCAAAATGTTGATCTCAACATCCTCTGGATATCTCTTGATTCTGCATGATCTGGACTTAACTAAGTCTTTAGAAGTAGGCAGCTATCCCATTTTGAGAGCAAGAAGGACTACATCAAGTTCAGGTAACATTTTCTGATTTAAAAAGTTTTCTAGCAGCCAGGTGTGGTGGCACATGCCTTTAGTCCCAGCACTTGGGAGGCAGAGGCAGGCGGCTCTCTGTGCATTCAAGGCCAGTTTGGGGGTCCAGGGAGACCCTGTCTCAAAAAGACCAAAAAAAAAAAAGTTTTCTAAAGAATCTGAGACATAGAGCTGGTATGTATTTCTATTCTGATAGCAGAACAAAGAAAATTAAAAGGCATTCTTTAGAAAGCTTACTAACAGCTCTTTGCTAATAAGGTGTGATAATCTCTGTGTATCCCTGACAGAGCATTAATTTGTGCCTCTGTATCACAAATAGGCTAGGAAAGACCATTAGCTCTAAAAGTACTTTGTTTTAGTTTTCTGCTAGCCAGAGAATCTATAATCAATATTTCTGAATCATCGCGATCTTAAAACTTAGTGGGACCAAGGTATTAGCTGTCTTCTTAAATCCTTGCAGAGCCCAGCAGAGCTTTTGTTACAGTGATTGTAGAGTTTTAGTTGTAAGTTTGTGTTGTACCCTAGACTTCCAGATGTCCATTCACACATCCTTTTGCTGAGCTGCCTTCTTTTATTGCTGATTTCATTAAACTTAAATGAAATTGGAGCTTATAGAAACTTAAATGCTGAACTCTATCAACATCATCTAATAGACATCATGGTTCATCTTCATTTGGAAATGAAAAGACTGGCCTGGGAACAAATATTCTTTTTTATTAATATAAAAAAGATCTTTTTGGTTAAAAGACAACGTGAAATGATTAGAATTTTTTTCTTCTGTGCACAAAGCCACTCCTGAAAACTCCTTTTGGGGCTAGAGAGATGGTTAAGGCACTTGCCACCAAGCCAGACAACCCGAATTCAATCCCCAGAACCTACACAGGCAGAGAGAACCACTCCTGCAAGTTGTCCTCTGATCTCTGCCAAGGTGCGTGCGCACACACACACACACACACACACTAAATAAATACATAAACAAACAAATGTAGTTTTTTAAAAAAAATTTGTTGAGAATTTCATACATACATATAAGGTGTTTTGATCAAATCCATGCCCACTCCCTCCCCTCCAACTCCTCCCATATCTCCCCATCACTTTTTTCTGATAACTTCATGTACTCTTTCTTCTTCTTTGATTGACTTATTTATTTTTATGGGGCTTTTGGCTACTCTAACATTCCCCGCTCTGAAGAAGTAACCCTAAAATCTTTTAAGGATTAGATACAAGCTCCCAAATACTTTCGACAATTTTGGCTTTTGGAACAAAGTATGTTGCTAAGAGGCCCAAGGACATTGTGAGTTTTAGCCAAGAAACTGGCTACTTTTCTTTGGGGTCCTTTTACTCTAACTGCCTAGCCAGTTCCTACCTCCTATTCTTATCACACCATCCTCTGAAGAGGTTGCCCAAATTGCCAACAGGGGATCGGGACACACACCACTCCGGTTTCTTCCATGCTGAACAGGGACGCAGGGTGAGGCAATTGGAGTACCCTTTCAGTGGGTCTATCTAAAAGATTTCCAAATAGCATAACTCTTATCTCTAAGGGGAAAAGAAAGTCCTTGAATCGTGAATAGGACCACCATGTGGAGGCAGGATCCGGGGGCTTTCAGGCAGTCCCCTGTGTTCTCAGGCCCTCTGCCAGAGGGAGGCCAGAACACGGCACTCTCTGGCAGTCTGCTGAGATCAGAGCTGCTACACTGATCAACAAATGTAGTTTTAAAAGAAAAAAGAAATCTCCTTTAGGAAAATGCAGGCATAATTGTATTATAATTTCTCAAACTATTAAAATTAGAAATTTAAGTTTACTTACTTAGAAAGTTTAATAATTCTGCGAGTGTAATGCTTTTTAGATTCAGAATTTCGTTAAAAAAAAATGTCAAAGCCGAGTGTAGTGGTGCACGCCTTTAATCCCAGCACTCGGGAGGCAGAGGCAGGCGGATCTCTGTGAGTTCAAGGCCACCCTGGTCTACATAGTGAGTTCCACAACAGCTGGGGCTACAGGGAGACCCTGTCTCAAAAAGACCAAAAAAAAAAAAAAGTCAAACATTGGTAATAAACTTTAACTTAATGAGAAATAGTGATTTAGAAGGTGTAGTTGACTGTTTCTTACTGAAAAACTAAAAAATCTTTTCAATTTTCTAAGGTCAAGTCTGATACTAAATAATATCATAGGAAATTGGATTAATAAGAATCCCCAATGTAAATGTGTAGCTACTAGAATATAGGATGAAACAGACTGCTGTTTGAAGTAATATATCAAACTTAAGTATCTGATACTCATTTAGTTTTATAGATCATAATGTAAAGTTTTACATCACATTTTAAAGATGACATTTACATAACTCAAGAATGATAATAGAAGATATTGGAATGCTTTAAAGAAGTATCTGGTCTAATAGCTGGGCATGGTGGCCCAACATCTGTAGTCCTAGCACTCGGGAGGCAGAGGCAGGAGGATCTCTGTGAGTTCAAGGCCAGCCTGGTCTATATAGGGAGTTCCAGGCCAGCTGGCGCTACAGGGAGACCCAGTTTCAAAAGCACCAAAAAAAAAAAAAAAAAAAAAAAAAGTACCTGGTCTTGTTCCTAGTAATGCATCTATTGTTTGCACCCCGTTCTTAAGTTAAATAGGCTAAAGAGCTCCGTTTTCATTTTCTTTTTTTTGCACAAAAGTAAACTCCAAATGGATCAAAGACCTCAATGTGAAGCCTGAAACTCTGAAACTGTTGGTAGAAAACATTGGCAATAACCTACAACATACAGGTGTAGAAAAGGATTTTCTAAACCAGACATCAATTGCTCAGGAAATAAGGTCAAGAATCAAAAAATGAAACCTCATTAAACTAAAAAGCCTTTGTACATCAAAAGAAGCAATCAAGGAAGTAAAGAGAAAACTCACAGAGTAAGAGAAAATCTTCACCAGTGACACATCTGACAGAGGTTTAACATCCAGAATATATAAAGAACTCACAAAACCAAGAATCAAGAAAGCAAGTAACCCAATTAAAAGATGGGCTAAGGAGCTGAACAGAGAGTTCTCAAAAGAAGAAATGAAGATGGCCAAGAAGCATCTTAAAAGGTGTGCCACTGGGCATGGTCTTTAATCCCAGCATGTAGGATGCAGAGGCAGGTGGATCTCTGTGAGTTCAAGGCCAACCTAGCCTACATAGTGAGTTCCAGGACAGCTGGGGCTACAGGGAGATCCTATCTCAAAAAAGACAAAAAAAAAAAAAAGGTGTTCAACATTGTTAGTAATTAGGGAAATGCAAATTAAAACTACTTTAAGATTTCATCTTATCCCAGTCAGACTGGCTAAGATCAAGAGAACAAATGATACCAAATGTTGGAGAGGATGTGGGGAAAGGGGAACGCTCATCCACTGCTGGTGGGATTGCACACTTGTACAACCCCTGTGGAAAGCAGTGTGGAGAACCCTTAAAAAACTACAAATGAACCTACCATTTGACCCAGTTATACCACTCCTTGGCATATACCCAAAGAACTCATCCTATTGCAGAGACACTTGTACATCCATGTTTGTTGCTGCTCTTTTCACAATAGCTAAGAGATGGAAGCAACCTAAGTGTCCCTCAACTGACGAGTTGATAATGAAAATGTTGTTCATTTATACGATGGAGTTCTATTCAGCAGTAAAGAAAGATGAAATCATGAAATTTGCAGGTAGAAACTGTTACAGTCAATGAAGTAAAACAGACTCAGAAAAACAAACAATGTATGTTTCTCCCTCATATATGGATCTTAGCACCAAATCCTTATAAGTGAGTTTGTATCCAGACATAACTACAGGAACCAGAATAATGAAAAGGAACCAGGGAGGTAAAGGAAAAGAAAAAACCTGAGAGAGAAGAACAGTAGGAAACAGGTATTACTAAGGGAGATATGGATAAGGGTTCTTTAAATGGGAGGGAGGAAGGAGGGTTATACAAGGAACCTTGGGAATAAAGGGAAAGAAGGAGCTCAAGAGAGGTAAGACCATAGGAGAAGGGTATTATCAAGGGAGAAATGGGGGAAATGGGGACACTTTAAATGGGGAACCCATGGTAGAAGGGTTAGACAGTGAGAGAGATAAATAATGCCTAGCTAGTTTTAAAAAACCAGAGGGACCATATTAGTCCAACAAACTACTGACAAATTATACATATATCATCTCTACATGAGTCCATGTGTATAGCTAAAGGCTACATAAGAAGAAACAGTGCCAGACAAGAGATACCTTCCTTTGAGTTATTGACCGGGTGGTCCAAGAGACTCCCAAAATTGCTCAAAATTCCCGGAACTTGAAGGTAAGACCCTACTAGTAGCTGAAGACAGAACATACATCAGACATAGGATTTGGAGCAACTGACATGGAAGCCACTTCCCCTGAAAGCAGCTCTCACAGCTTTGGAGAACGCTATGAAAGTGCCAAGGGAAAACATCAGTGGATGATCCAACACCAGCTTCAAGACCAAATAACCACATCAGTGGCCAGCACAGCATACGTCATTGGTGCAGTAGTGGCACTTTTATCTTGGGGGCAATAAGCAGCTACCTAATTTGACTAAAAGCCCACCCAAAGGGAGGAAACTCAAGTGTAGTACTGTAGCATAACCTAATACACATGGCCGGAGTGGTCATAGATCTTAGAGAAAACCCCAAAACTCTCATATCACTAGACCAATGTGATTTCTTACTATGTGCAAAGTATGTATCCTTATATTTACAGACAAATATCCCAGTCAGCACTCATCAAAGAAGCTCATTTTGCAGCAGTCAGAGACTAATACCAGGTACCACAACTGGTCACACACAGATATTGTCTATGAATTGTCCAGGCCTAAGGGACACATCTAAGGTTCATGGAACCTTACATCTAAGGTTCATGGAACCCAGAACAGGGATAAAGAAGAGGACACTAAGGAGTCAGTTCTCATAATGAAGCTCCTCATGCAGTGAGGGCCGGGAACACAAACGGTCACAAATGGCCGAAGTGTAGAGATCAAGAGTCTGCTGAATAATGGTCCTTGGACAGGACCCCTTTATTAAACTTCATCCATCCAAGGCTCAGGGACCATCGTGGAGGAGGGCCAGGGAGGAGGTGCATGACCATATGGAAACAGAGTCCTACAAGCTCCATGAACAGCAGACCTCAATCTTATCTAAATGAATGTTGGCAACTGATTGCTGCTAGATGAAGAAGAGCTGATTTTCCTAAAACAAGGGACTGTAGATAGGCTGATTAGACTCAGTGGATGGACTTGCACTGGGGGACAGCTGGGAGCACTGACAACACAGTGGGCAGTAACAGAGATGACAGAGTATATGGGCTCGGAGGGGAGGGGTTTGGGAGGGTACCAGTGGGGTTGGGAGTATAAAGATGATTAAGATTGTTTGAGATGTTCTGTATGAAATATACAAAAAAATCAGTAAAAATTCCATTAAAAATAATTTATTATAATTTTTGTTTTATATATGTGAGTGTTTTACCTGCATACATACCACATATATGCAGTACCCACAGATGCCAGAAGAAGGCATCAGATTCCCTGGAACTGGAGTTACAAGATGGTTATTAGCAGACATGTTGGTGCTGGGAACTAAACCTGAGTCTTTGGCAAAATCAGTCAGTGCTCTTAACCACTGAGCCATCTCTCCAGCCCCTGTTGTTGTATTTTAGCACAGAAATGATAAAGGACCAAAGGTATTCGTGTATTTATTTGGCTTTTTATTTTTATTTCACACAAGCAGATCTTTAGTATAAAAGATTTTAGAAAGAAAGTAGACCTTAAACAGAACCAAGGAACTGTCTTTGTCTTCATCTTAGTTATAGTCCAGTTTTATATGAGCTTTTTGTTTCCATGTTTAAGGTATATTTTAAAAGTTCAAGTAAGGCCAGGAATGGTGGTGCACAATTTTAATCCCAGCACTGGGGAGGCAGAGGTAGATCTCTGTGAGTTGGAGCCCAGCCTGGGCTAAGTACCAAGTTCCAAGGCCAGCCAGGGCTGCATAGTGACCCTGTCTCAAACAACAAAGTTCTAGTAGATAATTTAAAAAGTTAAGAGATACTATGGAGTTATGCTAGGTTCATTGTTTTTGTTTTGTTTTGTTTTGTTTTGTTTTGTTTTGTTTTAAGATTTGACCACTTCTTCAAGTTCTTCTGGTCCTAGATTTTCTGGTTCACCTTGTCATCATAGTGATTCTAATTCATCTGAGAAACACATGTCACGAGCTTCTCAAAGAGAAGGTGAGTTAAAAGTTGGGATTTATAATCTTGCAACAAGAGTCTATCAGATAGCTTTCTTTGGTTTGTTTTTAGTCCATAAAAACAAAAGCCAGTAGAAATGAGATCCTATCTTACCCCTTCAATTGTATTTTTCAAAAAGCTAACCATTTTTTTTCCTTACACGTTTGATAGAATTTAAGCTTTGGTTTTATTACCCTGGCCAAACTTAATTTGCTCTAGTTTGGAGAGGAAATAGTTGGGAAATATAGTTAAGAAATGTAGGTTCCAAACAAGGATGCTATGAAAATTAAATCAGAGTGTGTATATAGAGTAAACCTGGTATCACAGCCTGTCATCTAGCACTTGGGAGGTAGCAGCAGGAGGATCAGGAATTCAAGATGATCCTCAGCTACCTAGGGAATTTGAGGCCAGCCTGGGCTACATGAGACCTTGTCTCAAAACAACAATAATAAAAATGTTTTATCTCTTGATATTAAATTTCTTAGCTGCTTCCTAATAATGTCTGTGAAAATGTTTCCTCACACACCTGAGGGATATCCTGGGATTAACAGCAGTGGGTACTAGGAACTGGGTTGAAGGAAAATGCTGGGGCAAAGCAGAGTCCCAGGAAAATGTCTCCTATCCCTTGATCTATATCTCTGCTTGTTGTTTATAGTCTGAACAGAGACATACAAGTATCTTTTTTTTTTTTTTCAGCTTTACAGAGGTATACAATGACATGTATTTGGTAGAAACCGTATTTCACATTTTGAACTTTGAACTTTTCCCAGGCTAGCAATATGCATTATTGTAGTATCTCTTGGTTCTAGAAAGTAACAGTGAGCTGCAGCTTCTGGCCACACAATTATGAGAATAAACAACCGTCACAAATCTGTGGTGTGCAGATGGTTAGTGTGTTAAATTCATTACAACCCACATTTCAACTTATGATGAGTATATTAATTCTACAATAGGTAGAGGAGCATCTGTGGTGTCTGTAGGGGACATAAATCCTGATCTTTCACTAAAAGGCAGTCCTCCAGGACTCCAAGTATTTCCTTTATCTTACAGACCAGTAAGTTCTCTGAGTTGAGAATTGTTACCCCAGTGTTCTAGACTTCTTCCATGTCTTACAACTTCAGTTCTTAAACAAAGAGGCTTGTGAGATGCAGGTCCAAATAAAAAGACCCCACTCAATTTTCATGCCTTAGCCTTAGGTAATTCCTGCTGTAAAATTCCCAGACCATAGGGGACAGACCTACACAGACTCACACAACATAAGAGATGAAGGCAAGGGAGGTGGTTGCCAGAAATTATGGCTTTGATGAATTGCCTTAATCCTTGGATAATACAAATCCAAAATCTTTTATTTTTTTATATCTCAGGAGTTTCACCACGAAATAGTCTTGAAGTCTTAACTCCTGAAGTTCCTGGTGAGAGAGATCGTGGAAACTGCATCACATCCTTACAGCTGCATCCCAAAGGCTGGGCCACCCTTCTTCGGTGCTCAAGCAACACTGATGATCAAGAGGTATAGGCATTAGCACTCCACTTTAATAGGGCTCGTTGGACAAATTGTCATTGCCCTGCTTGCAGACTGTAGGCTGATAACTGGGCACAATCCCTGCCTACCCTCAAGGGCATACTGCCAGAGACCCTGCTTCTTGATCCTTCTGTTTCCTCTGTTGCAGTCTCTTCTCTTTTTTATTTGTTTGTTGAGACAGGGTCTCCCTGTAGCCCCAGCTGGCCTGGAACTCTCTATGTAGACCAGGTTGGTCTCAATCTCACAGAGACCTGCCTACCTCTGCCTCCTGGGTGCTGGGACTAAAGGTGTGCAGCACCATACCAGCTCTTCTTCCTCTCTTGCCTGGGTGTAGAGAGCTGAGATGTTCAGCTAAGCTAAATGTGAAGTTTAGTGTTTGGTAAGCCAGTTATCATTGTCATCTCATTTTAAACACCAGAGGAAGGGGCTGGGGAGATGGCTCAGCAGTTAAAAACACTTGCTGCTCTTGTAGAGGACTTGGGTTCAGTTCCCAGGACTTACATGGCAGCTAACAACCATTTGTAACTCCAGTTGCTGGGGATCCAGTGCCTCCTTCTGGCCTCCTCGGACACTGCATGCATTTGGTACACATAAACTCACACACACAAGTAAATAAATATTTTTAGAAATGGGATGGAGCTGGAGAGGAAGTTTAGCAGTAAAAACTGTAGTAAAGACTACTGGCTGCTCTTCCAGAAGACCCAGGTTTGGTTCCCAGCATCCACATGGTAGCAAACAACCATTTGTAACTCCAGCCCCAGGGACTCTGATGCCCTCATCTGGCCTCTGGGGGCATTACATGCATGTGGTGCGTTTACATTCACACAGGCACACTTATACACATCACAAAAAAAAATTTTTTTTTTTGGTCTTTTTGAGACAGGGTTTCCCTGTAGCCCCAGCTGTCCTGGAACTCACTATGTAGACCAGGCTGGCCTTGACTCACACTCACAGAGATCCACCTGCCTCTGCCTCCCAAGTGCTGGGATTAAAGGCGTGCACCACCACGCCCAGCACAAAACATTTTTTTAATAATAAATATTTTAAAATATAGGAAACTGAGGAAGGAATGGACTAAACTGATGACTAGGGAAAAGGGATAAGTGACCTTAAGATTCTCATGACTCTGGTAAGCAGGAGTCTACCAAGGATCTCACTGACTTTGGAGACCACAACTGAAAGGAGGGGAGAATGGCCTTTGAAATGAATAGAAGACAGAAATACTCTGTGTTGGATGTACCCCTAGAATTTTTAAACTATCAGGATCATTGTTGCCCTCAGAAAAGAAAGTGTGTTACTACAGAATTCATAGCCTGCCTCAGGGAACAAAGGACTTTAAAGCAGCACAGCACAGAACAACCTCAGCTTATGAAAATAAAATATGGGGGCTACAAGTTTTGTTAGTTCAGAGGCAGACAGTATTCATCTGATTGATTTCTTCCAACATTCCTGTCATTTTGGCTATCTGTTGAGCTTTTAAAAAATAAAGACTGGGGCTGGAGAGATGGCTCAGCAGATAAGAACACTGACTATTCTTGCAGAAGACCCAGGTTTGAATCCCAGCACCCACATGGCAGCTAACAACTGTCCGTAACTCCAGTTCCAAAGGATTCAACAGTCTCTTCTGTCCTCTGCAGGCATTGTACGACACAGGTGCACTTACCTACATTCAGGCAATTATACACGCATACACATAAAATAATAAATAAAATATTTTAAAAAATAGACTATGGGGCTGGAGAGATGGCTCAGCAGTTAAGAACACTGGCTGTTCTTGCAGAAGACCTGGGTTTGAATCCCAGCACCCATATGGTGGCTAACAACTACCTGTAACTCCAGTTCCAGGGGATCCGACAGCCTCTTCTGTCCTCCATGGGCACTGTACAACATGGTTGCACTTACTCATACACATGTAGGCATAACACAAAATAGAATAAATCAAAAAAAAATTTTTTTAATTAAGAGTATTTGCAGTACTTCTTGGGGATCTGTAACCTTGGCCTGTCTCTCTTTTCTTCCTCTAGTGGACTTGTGTCTATGAATTCCAAGAAGGCGCTCCAGTGCGACCTATCTCACCGCGCTGTTCCCTACGGCTGACTCATTACATTGAAGAAGCTAATGTAGGGAGGGGCTACATCAAAGAACTTTGCTTCAGCCCTGATGGACGAATGATTTCTTCCCCACATGGCTACGGGATTCGCTTATTGGGATTTGACAAACAGTGCAGTGAACTTGTTGACTGTTTACCTAAAGAAGCTAGCCCCTTACGGGTGATCCGATCTCTGTACTCTCATAACGATGTGGTATTGACAACAAAGTTCTCTCCAACACATTGTCAGATTGCCTCAGGGTGCCTTAGTGGACGGGTCTCTTTGTATCAGCCAAAGTTTTAGGCACAACTTATTTCAAATAAGGAACTCTTCTGGTGTTTGACTTATAAATTACTTCAATTTAGGTGAAGTATTTTATATTTTAGAAGATCTTATAAGTTTGGGTCAAGATCCTGGTTCTTACAGGCCCATGAACACATCTATGATCTGAGTACTTGGCCATCCAGCGTCACACGGGCATCTCTATTTAGACTATGCAGCATCGTTTTTCAGCATTCCTTTGCTCCTGCTGTCTGCCACTAAACTCCACTCTGGTTATTTTGCATGGCAGCTCTTGTTAAGTTCTCTCCCCCTTTCACATCTCTCCCTTTCTTCCCTTTCTCCTTCCTCCCCTTCCTCTTTTTGATCTTGGCAAGAATTTGTGGACATTTGGCAGGAGTCTTCACTGGGATTAGAGAAACCCATGGCACTAGTATTGAAAAAAACCCAGAAGTTGGATGTTGATGAACCAGTTGTTGAGAAAGAACCTTCATCTTCATTTATCAGTATCCTTGGCCTTTAAAGTTGCTGTTACATTTCTCTATATTGAACACAGATAATGACATTGTTCTCATAACTGTTATTTACTCTTGCAACAAAATGTCTTTTTAAGTTTTCTGTTAAAATTATGTAAGTTTTCTCAAGTGAGATTTTGTTGTGAAATTCTAGAAAAAATTATTACAATCTGTTTGTAATTTATTTTACTTGTATGAATTTTAAATCTCCAGCATGTGTCTCTGCTTGGTATTTTGTTCCTGGCAGCAACATTGGAAAGGAAAGGAGAAGGAATGGGCTCTGCTGCTTTTGCTGTACAGAAGAGGATTTGTTAGATTAATATCTGGCCATGGCGTGATGAGAATAATGTGACTTTGATTTTCTGTGATTCTTTGAATCACACGGGATGATGTGTTAACAGTAATGGGGTGGAGAGGAAATCAAGTAAAGATTTCATTGTTTTTCTTCCTTCTGCTGGGGATCATAAGCTCATGATAAGTAAGAAGGGAGCTACAGTCTTCTTTAAGCTGTTATCATAACCCTTATAGTCAGTGACTTGAATGGCACTACTAAGAATACCTTTTTTGTGTTTTGTTATGCAAAGCATCAGGCAAGGCACAAACACAGGCTGCCATCCTGAACAGGCCACTTTCTTCCAGTCTCTTCTATGCCGAATGGCACTGTGTTGAGATTTGCTAGACTGGAGTAAGTAAGCCATGCAGTAAGTAACCTTGTGCTTTGGTTACCTGCTCTTTAGGCCAGTGGTTCTCAAATATTGGGAAGCATTATAATCGTTAAAGGGCTTGTGAAAAATGCAGAGACTTGGGCCTGACCTTAGAAAATTCTGCTACAGGCAGGGCAAGGACAGGCATCTGTTCTAAACAGGAACTTCAAGTGATCTTTATTCAGATGATAGTCTGGAAAATACAACCTTGAATTGCAGTAAATACTTAAATATCCATTTGGTGCATAACTAAACAAGTCCCATAAGATGTTTTGATTATTTAAATAGTAAATAATAGCAACTTTAGGGGTAGAAAACAACTTGAAATAAAGTCAGTTTCATTATTTGGTAAATGAAGTCAGATGACCTGCCTAATCTTGTCAAGGCCAAGTTAGTGATAAAGCCAGGACTTAATTCAAGTTCCTTAATTCCTTGCTCAGGGCAATTTCTACTGTAGTATGTATGCTGGCTGGCTGGCTGGCTGTTAAAAATCAGTAATTGTGAATACTTTGTCTTTGAGTTACATTATTATGAAAAAGATGACCAATGGATTGAAAAAGGCAGGCATGTGAGTAGATGCTGAGAATTTTATTTCACAGAAGAAATTTCTTTTAAATCTTATAGAAATGTTTAGACAACCCAAATACATTTCTTTGTAGTGCCTGGCAAACAGCTGTTCATACACATGTTAGAAGTTATATCTCTCTTAGAACAATGTTGACTCTGGGACAATTTTAAAAATTAGATTATTTTATCATAGATGTTGAAAAAAACTGGAAATTTTGCAGTCATTGAAAAAAATTACCACAAAGCACAGTGAAAATCATAGGCTTGCTTGCCATAGCTTTGTAAAATATATATACATATATATGTTTTTTTCAAGAATATAATTTTGGAGAAAGATAGCCAAAGTTGTTATCATTAAAAATAAGCTATTATAATAATTAAATAGATATTTCAAAGAAAATTGTATAAATTTTATGTTTGGAAAGAGTTCCTTATCAGATGGTAGATCCACATGTCACCAAACTCTAAGCCAGTGATTTTTAAATCACTATTTTTGAATGTCTACTATGCTTTAAGTATGTGCCTGCTTTACTACTTCTCCTCCAAAACCTTGTAAGGTAGGTGGAATGAAATCCTTGTTATCCTGAGAGTAGTAATGGATCAGAAAGGTTAAGTGACCTGCCTGAAGTCACAGAACTGACCCATGGGTACCAGCACTGGGATTCGGACCCAGGCTTCCCTGTTTGTTTGCATCCAAAGACTGTGCTTACTGCTGTGCCATTCTGCCTGTTTGTGAAGGATGGTAAACTGGTCTGTTAATTTATGTTTAGTATCTTCTGGAAATATTTTTATTATGAGGCTGGCCTCATCTTCTGTACCAAGTTAAACATTTTTAAAACAAAGTTTCTATGAGAATAAAGATCATAAACATAGGGCATACATACATACATACATACATACATACATACAAACATGTGGGCCATCCCTAACAGAAAAAACTAAGCAGGATACAATACTTGTGATATAGAAAAGAAAATGGAGGATCAGTGGCCTTGCATGAAAATAAAGCCACACTGATGAGACCTAACAACAGTCAGAAATTCACCAAAAGAATCCTTGCCCTCTCTAAGGTATGGTCAGGACCAAAAAGTCATCAGGGGCTAAGCTGGATGTGGTCCACACCTTCAAACCCAGCAATCAGGATCTCTGAGTTTGAGGCCAGCCTGGTCTACATAGTGAGTTCCAGGCCAACCAAGGCTATATAGTAAGACCCTGTCTCAAAAACAAAAACACCCACCGTTTTAACCAAGGAATTAAAAGGCCTTAGAATTAAATGGTCCCATTTTACTTAACAGTGTAAAAATCTTAATTGGTATTTTTTTTTTACTGCTTCAATCATTTTTAATACTTGGCATATTATAATTGGTAATGAAGTATTAATGTTGGTAAATGTAGTATAAATTGTTCTCCTGGCTAAAAGCTTTTTCCAGAACATTTATGGAAATGCTATGTTGAATGACTTCGGTACATCAGATATACAGTAGTTCCTTGTCTTCAATCAGGAAATGAAGGGCTAAAGACCTCTATTTTAGTCTTTTAAAAATATGTGTGGTGCATGCCTTTAATCCCAGCACTCGGGAGGCAGAGGCAGGCGGATCTCTGTGAATTCAAGGCCAGCCTGGTCTACATAGTTCCAGGGCAGCTGGGGCTACAGGGAGACCCTGTCTCAAAAAGACCACCCCCCCCAAAAAAGAGGGGTCTTTTTTTCTCAGAAACCCAAAGTGTATGTATACTTTATTTCTCCCTGTTACATCCCTAAGAAAAGGCCACACCAAATATTTTAAGAAAACAGGCAAGGAAAAGATAAATCATGTGTTCCTAACTCCTGCATCTTGAACCAAGGTCACATTATGTAATTTTTTTTTTTTTTTTTCTTTTTGAGACAGGGTCTTCATGCAGCCCCAGCTGTTCTGGAACTCACTATGTAGACCAGGGTGGCCTTGAACTCACAGAGACCTGCCTGCCTCTGCCTCCCAAGTGCTGGGACTACAGGCGTGCACCACCATGCCCAGCTTATGTAATTTTTTAAATCTTTTAAAGTTTTATTATTTTTATGTGTATGCGTATACTGCCTGCATGTAGGTAAGTGCACCTGTGTCATGCAATGCCTGTGGCGGTCAGAAGAGGCTGTCGGATCCCCTGGAAATGGAGTTATGGACAGTTAGCTGCCATGTGGGTGCTGGGATTTGAACCCGGGTCTTCTGCAAGAACAACCAGTGTTCTTAACCGCTGAGCCATCTCTCCAGCCCCCATTATGTAATTTTTAAAGTTGTGTTTTCTGAAAGTACAATACAGAGTAAACTGAGTCTTTTAGAAGCCTAGTGTTTCTCATTTTAGAAATCTGGTACTATGTCTTTAAGTATCTGTTAAATTTGGCATTTGGCAGGAGAAATGGTCTAACTTCCTGATGACAATCACCTCATATAGTGGCCAGGGGTCCCTGAATGCTGTAAAGACTCACTCAGTAACACCTTATGTTGATGGTGAAGGAATCCATATATACGAATTTTGTTTGGATAATTAATGCGTATTTCTTAAGTGCCAACATTTAAAATTTGTAATTATTTTTGATGCATGTCTTTTAGATATGTTAGTATACCTTCCTGCCTTCTTAAACAACATGCTCAATCTAACTTTTTCATGATGAAAACTTATATTCATTTTGTGTTATTACAAATACCCAGTGAGCTCTGATAGATGTACAACAGTTCATAAAATGTAAAGGCTATGACAAATGAGAACTATCTCATAAAGCAATTTCCTCGATTATATAATCATTTGCCTCAGATTGTTAGCTTTTAAAAAAATGTTTTCTACCTGGAAATGTGTTTTATCAGTAAGCCTGCCTCTCACAGGCTTGCCCTTCCAGTGTGCTGTCTTCATGTTAAGGGCAGAGTCATGACATCACCAAGCCTGGTGGGTGTGGAAAGGAATAGCTGGACAAATTCTGGGCACATGGTTTGAGACAGTTCCTTTGACACTTTCTACTTATCTTCTGGATAATAAAAGGTCCCAGTTAAAGGCTAGGCTATTTTCAGTCACAACCAAGTAAGATATTATAAACTAAGGGTGCTGCTAGCTTACAAAGGATCCAACATTGTACCAAAGTGGAGCAAAGCAAGAACAAAGGCTCTGTATTAAAAAAAAAAAAAAAAAGAATACAGAAGAGGAATGGGGGGCGGGGTGCAGGAGGGGAGGAAAGGAAGGAGAAAGGGAAAAGAAGAAAATCCAGGTAGACTTAAGACTGTAGATGCCATTAAATTTCGTCAATAACATTGTTACAAAGACAGTTTAGTTTCATTGTAGAATAAGATTGCACTAAAATGTATAGCCTAGAGATAATTCTAAATGATGTCCTAAGAAATTCTCCCGTTGAAATGATAGTGGAAATCATTCTCAAAAGAAAAATCTCCAGTTTACCTTTATGCTGCTGTCTTTAGTTGTAAATGAACTCATATCAAGCCCCAAGGAGCACATGTCACATAGACACATACCTCCTATATGTATGTATGTATATATAAATATCACTAAATGTTAACGTTACCCAGAAATAAAATAATTCAAGATTTAAATCTGGTCCAAAGTCTTTAAAATAGGTGGAATCTTTAGCTTTCCTTATTCTCCTCATTTAGATGTATAATTTCTACATTAAAGAATGAATGTTCGAATTTTCTCTTAAATTTCACTGCATCCTTCATTTCCAAACTGCTTCCTGGTAAATTTTAGGTTTGTGTTTTCAGGAAACTTGAAATGTTCATTAATATGCTGGACACCCAGAAAGTTTTCTTAGTAGATTCTAACATGCTAGGAATTCTTCTGTTAAGACTATCAACTCCCTGAAGGCACAGACTGCTTATCTTCTAGACAATAAAAGGTCCCAGTTAAAGACTAGGCTATTTTCCAGTTACAACCAAGTAAGATATTATATAAGCTAAAGGTGCTACTAGATTAAGAAGGATCTAGGACTGCACCTGACAGGTAGTTGTTCAACAAATATTTGTTGGAATAAACCAAATGAACCCTCGCCCTAAGCTCTCATGAAGCCAGAATGCAATGATGTGAATCCTAGAGTTTTTGTTTTTTTTTTTAAAGTCATATTATATAGTCCTGGCTGACCTGAAACTCCCAATTTGTAGTAATTCTCAGGCTTCTGTCTCTGGAATGCTGGAATTACAGGCTTGAGCCACTTCCCCCAGCCCTGAGTCATGTTTTCTATTATTACTAGAAGTCAATCTCTAGACAAGGACTCTTCCCTTCCAGCAAGCATTTCTTGGCATTCTATAACTCCATGGAAGTCTAGCCAGTAACAAGAACTCTCTTCTCATCTGCTGACATCAAGCAAGGACTTTGTAGTAAATTATTTTTTCTAACACTGCATTATGAAAATGCTCACAGCACGGGTAGAATAATTCTACAGTGACCGTTTATGATGGTTCTCTTTGTGCTCTGATCACTTATCCAGTACTTCAATTCATATCTCAATTTGACACATTTTGAAAAAACTGCTTCCACCTGTGCCTGTCCTAAAACTTGCTGTGTTATGGCACAGTTTTTAAAAAAATATGTATGAAATACTAATATTAACTATACACTGGCTAAGTTTGGACAAATGCGTATGTGTGTGTGAACTCCAGCTCCTATCAGGATATCCACTGCCCTCCTGTTCCTTTCCAGACTGCCACCTTTCCCCCAGTGAAGATTTGACTGTGGGGTGTGGTCTCCATATATTTCATTATTTCATTATTAAAAATGGCTGAACACAAAACTTTGCTCTTTTGAGTTATGTAAATTGTATGAGTTTAAGTCTGTTAAATGTTTAACTTTGAGGGGTAATTGAAACACAATTTAAGTTCAGCTTAGTACTTTGTACTATGGAATCATACTGTCCTTAGAAATCAAATCATACAGTCCTAAGAAATCAAAAGCATCTCTGAAATACAGTAAATAAAAGAACACATGGGACTAGATAATGCTGCATTTATGGAACAGATCTAAATCTCTAGACTGTGGATACAAAGACCTGTGAGAAATCCAGGTGTGATGGTCCCAGCATTCAGATTTCTCTAAGATTGAGGCCAGCCTGGTCTACACAGCAAGTTCCAAGCCAGCTGAGGCTACAGGGAGACACTGTCTCAAAAAAAAACAAACAAACAAAAAACAAACAAAAAAACCCAAACCCCAAACCAAAACACATAAACAAACCAAAGACCTGTGAGAGAGAGCTGCCCTGAAAGAGCACTTGGTCAGGGATATAGCTCAAACACTGTAGACTCAGGAATTGGTGTCATCCCATGCTGCAAAAGCAGCAGTTTGTTTTACAACCTGGCAAAGTTGTTATTTTACAACCTTGCAAAGTAGTTGTCGGTCTAGAGAAAAGGCAAATTGGCTCCCTAGTCAATTTGGTGCAAAACAGTGGTTCTTATATTCCTAATTGCATTTCCCAAGCCCATGAATTCCTCACTGGCTACCTCATTGGTACCTCAAGGGACCTCCTTCCAGTTGGTCTAGCACAGCCCCCACCCCCAATTCCCCATCCTCCTGGTGCTCAGTCACAGCAGACTAACTTCTTACCCTGAGGCTAAACCAAAAAAAGCCCCAGGCAAGGGAGGTGCCAGCTGCTGGCTAGGCAAGACAAGGGCCTCCAGCTTCTCTCTGATTCATTGAGAAGCATACCTCACACTGAAAATGGACCACAATGATTTATTTCTTACAATGCCCCATAGGAGGGACTTAATCCAGCCTAGGAGACAGGAAGTTTCCATTTTTACTTCAGAATTTGTCAGCAACTGATGTTCAGTGTGTGTTCTGTGAAATGTAGAATCTCAAAACAGAATGATTTGTCCTAAAAAAGGCAGCTTTGTAATTACCAAGCAGGAATGGCAGATCTGCTAGACAAAATAAGGAAGTCAAGAACAGGCTAGAACTGGGTCTCTTTCCAACTCATCTTACTAGACCTCAACTCTTTCCAGACAGGGAGCAACTTAAAATTTAACATGTAAACCAACAACAGACTGACTTTATACTCTCCAGACCGTCAGCAACAGAAAAGAACAACTATGAAGAACAAAGATGTGAGAAGAGCTGGGAAAGCAAACACCCCAGCCCTTCTGACCCGGTGAGCATGACGTAAAGGTATGCCGCTGTAACGAAGGGAAGTTTGCTACATTTTAGGAAAACTAAGAAACAGAACTTGGGGCTCAGCAGTTAAGAGCACTGACTGCTCTTGCAGAAGACCCAGATTTGATTCCCAGCACCCACATGGCAGTGGAGAACTGCCAGCAACTCCAGTTCCAGGGGATCGGACGCCCTCTTCTGACCTCCAAGGGCATTGCACAACATGGGTACACTTATGTACATGCAGGCAATACACTCATACACATAAAATAAAAATAATAAAATATTTTAAGAAAGAAAATGCTTTGCAGTAAAGATATCTGGAAAATGAAGATAATGTTTGACTTGTCAAGTCTTCAGGTGGACTGCTGGAGGTGTTTTTATTAATAGAGACACAGACTAAGTTACCACACCCTCCCCCAAGGACTAAAGTGCTAGTAGTGAAAGGAAACTACCCAACCACAAAACATCACACGGGCTGGGCTAAGGCAAATTTTATTTCAAGTACCTCCCTAGACGTTAACTCAGCATCCAGCCGCTAATCAAACTCATATGGTCATATACGTCAGTAGAGCAAGCCAAGTTTTGTGTTTTGCTACTTTTAATAATGAAAAGAGAAGATATACGTACACCCACCACCCCACCCAATTTAGGTGCAATTTAGGTAAACAAGTATTCAAGCAAAAAATGCATTAAAAACAAAATCCTCAAATCTAGCAAGAATATAGTTCAAGTTTTTGATATGCATTTATTTGTATATGAGAAGATATATTTAACATAAAACCAAGTGTAAGTGCTTTACTTCCAACATGGTCTGCCTAGCCGTCATTGAATGACCACATCCCTCATACTACAGGGCCTTCCTCTCCAGCCGACCCGCCTTGGCTCAACAAGAGCGGCTTACACAAAGCCAACCCTCTAGATCCCAGGCCACAGATCCTGCCCACTGCTCATTACTGCTTTAGAGCTTTGCACAGCCTTAATCTATGTTGTAATTGAGCTGAGGAATTCCAGGTACCCAAACACAACACATGTACAGTTCTGTTTTATTGCAAAGGGTCACAATATATAGCAAGTGATTCTAGAACCAACAAATTAAGAGGAATATTAAGAACATCAACTTTGTCTCCAATCACAAAATGAGATAAGAACACCATACAAAGGCTGCTTGCTCTGTAGTGCAGTCCTGAGGGCTCATGGCACTGTGAGTGTGTTAAATACAGAATTTAAACATATTTCTGGTGGCATCAGATATGAAGCCTAGGGCACAAGACTGAGTGTCCTGTGCTCATGAGCCATCTGTGCCAATATGTAACAGAAAGGCCACTTTAAAAGCTTTTCAGATAGTTCTTCAATCACGTGTACTTTGAAAATATTTGAACACACTGGTTTAAAATTTATTCATTAAACATTCTGACCTTAAAGTTCAGATAAAGTTGGTTGCAAGTTCTGATTTTTTTTGTCAGACTTAAGAAGCTTATAGGAGAACGAAAACCCATCTCTGGTAATGTATTTGCAGTTTAGTCTTCATGAGCTATAAAGAGCAACAAAAATTTTAAAGTTAAAACTTGTTAAAACTTTTAGTAATTGCGTTAAAATGCCACATAAGTGAAACACAAACCCAAAGCAGTCCAATTATATTATTTCATAAAAGTACTTTTACAACTTTATGGCCTGCATGGAGTGTAGACACCCTCCCTCTACCCCAAGGCCAATGGAAATTAATTCCCAAGGCAAAGTCACAATCCCTGGTTAACTCACCACCCCCTACCCCCAGGCTGAGCACTTGGCAGGCTTGTGTGTACTCGAGGTTGCACACATGTGGACAGTGGGACCAGGAACCAAAGCCGTCTTTCCATTTGTGAAACTCCACTCCCTTCAAATTGTAACTCAACAAGTTGAAGTACATTAGTAAGATTTGTCTGGCATCAAATTCTCGTTTTCTGAATTCTCACATCTGTATCTTGATCTATATTGCCATATATACTGGGCTGGAACTCACTATGTAGACCAGGCTGGACTCAAACTCAGAGATTTGCTTGCCTCTGCCTCCCAAGTGCTGGGATTAAAGGTGTGCGCTACCATGCCTGGCTCCCTTATCCTTTATGGTTGGAATAATGTTCACTGTATTTAACCAGTCATATTGTATTTAGAGGTAAACAGATGTTTTGGACAATCTGCCCCAGAAACTTCTAGTAAACTCCAGTTGCGGTTTGATTTCAGTTTGGTAGGTATGTATGTATATTTGTATGCAATTACCCAGAAAAATGAGAAACTGTTAATTAAAAATAACCCACCTTTAAAAACTGGGGAGGTATCAGGCACGGTGGGATACACTTTTAATTCCAGCATGCTGGAGGTAGAGGCAGGCGGATCTCTTAAGTTTGACACCAGCCTGGTCTATAGAGTGAATTCTAGGCCAGCTGGGGTTACAATAGTAAGATCCTGTCTCAAACAAAGAAACAAACAAAAACAAAAACTGGGGAAGCTGGAGTGTAGTTCAATGGTATAACACTTGCCTAAAATGTGCAAGCCCCGGGTTCAGTCCCTACTACCACAAAAAAGAAAAAAAGAAAAAAAGAGACCTACTTTCTGATGTCAAATACTAGGAAACAATCTTTATCTAATATTTACAGACAGCTTTGTTAAGATTCATAAACTACTTCTCTAGAATGGGTATTATTTCAGTTGTGTGAGTAATTCATGGACAAGGTTTTGCCAGCTAAATAAGGGATAAAATACCCGGCTAGTTACCAACCTCTAGAATTCAAAATGTATTTAGATCAGATCCTCTTAAACTTGTTGTACTGAAAGAATGTTACACAAGGCTCCCCAAATGTCAAAACCCTAAAGAAGCCATTTTCAAGAGTAATTATAACAGAAAGGAAACACTGTAGGGAAAACTACCCTGAGCTTTTTCACCCTTCACTCTGTAGCATTTAGAAACCAAGAAGAAAAAAAAAAAAATCTGGAATTGTATTGACAGGCTCCCAAAATAAAACTTTATGGAAGTGTTTATTTTTTAAAAGTATAGTTTCAAGAAATCAGGATACTCAAATATGAAAAATATCCCCCCCACTGGTCTGCTAAGTTGGCATCAAAATCACAAAGAAACCAGGCTAAACAGAATGATCTTGCAATTAACTTTTTTTTTTTTTTGGTCTTTTTGAGACAGGGCCTTCCTGTAGCCCCAGCTGTCCTGGAACTCACTATGTAGATCAGGCTGGCCTTGAACTCAAGAGATCTACCTGCCTCTGCCTCTCAAGTGCTGGGATTAAAGGCGTGCACCACCACGCCTAATTAACAACTTCTTAACAGGATGAAAAACACAACAAAAGCTGTCACCCAATCTTTTGGCAATGAGTTAAGTAAAATCAGCACAAGGGTATTCTGGAAGGGCTCAAAGTCACATTCAGAATTAAACAGAAAACTTCCAAAGCTACACAGCAAAATGGGAACTGGTATTAGCTGTTTGATTCTATCAAGTCTAAACAGAAATAGTTTTGATAACTATCCTAACGGTGCTTAGTTTCAGACCTAACTCCAACAATTCATCATGAAATGCCTGCACCTGAGACGCCGTTTTCCTGTCTCTGTTCTGCTCTTCAGTCCTACCATGGATGCTGGAGTTAATGAAGGTGGCCCTCTGCAGCTGCTCCTGGGAGGAGACAAGCAAGAAATGGAGCCATACATGAGCCTGAGCGCCTGCCTAGAGCATGTGCTTTGTCTGCTTATGGCCATGTGTTTCCATAGAGGGTTAATGACTTCCCAGGAGGAAAAGGAATTGCATCTTGGCTAATAGGTTGGCCTGCAAAGGCCATCAAATACACAGCTAGTTACTAAGCAACAGCCTAAAGCTCTGTGGTCAACGATCAAAACAAAATGCCTCATTTTCCTACTGAAATATTTCGTTCTGTTTTGTTGATGCTTTGCCCCTAATTTTCTATGGCCAGGACTTAATGATGCCAATTTGGGAACAAAGCCAAACTGCACTCTCTACTTCCTTGATGAATAGCATTTCATAGTGACTTTATCATACAACTTTTAACAGAAACTCGTAAGTTGCATTGATTATTCCCCAAGAGATGAGAGACCGATGGTAATTCAGATGGGCACCTCTGAAAAGATTTATCAGTTTCCTGTCCCGTTCTAGCCAGATTGTTTTGAAAACCTTGGAGAAAGACTGAAATTCCCCACCAATCTGAGACTGTATACGAGCTTTTACAACGTTAACTGGAAAAAACAGGAATCCTAGCATGGCACCCAAAACACCTCCACAGATGAAGTCATTGACCAAATGTGCACTGTGAGTTGTTGCAGTGGGCAGATGCTCCTTAATGGGCCCTCGAAGGCCAAAAAATAGGACATTGCTAAATCCGTTTCGGAAAAGAATAGGCACCAAGCCTCGATAATATTCTCTAATTCCATGGCATTTCAGAGCCCGGAAAGCCTGGTAGGTGTTTGTGAACTTGTCATGATGCTTGTGGTCCTGAAGCAGTGCCTGCACCCTTTCCAATGGAGTGAAGATGGCTTCGGTCGTCCCCGCGAGCACAGCTGCCACACCTCTGGTTGCAAACTCGGGAGCGCTACTCACGTGCTTCCTGAGGAGGCGAGACAAATCCTCGTACAGTCCGAACATGAGGGCCAGTGTAGTTGTTTTTTGCATCAACGGGGGGAGGATTCCACGATACAAGTTTCGAAATCCATCCTTCTGCAATTGCAGTATTGCATCTCGGGTTTTGAGCCCGTACAGCTGCTGCCGAAAGAGAATCTTCTGAACAGGGTAAGTGATGGCGACATTGTTGAAAGCTGCACAGCAGCCACAAAAGTAATGCTTTCCTTCACCAACGTTTGCAATGTGAGGTGACAGATCTTGGTTTGAAGATGTTAGTATTGGGGGCCTCTTTTCATGAGCTTCTGAATCCATCATGTTGCTTATGATCTTTCTTCAGGAAAGACTTTTTTAACCTACACATAGTAAGTGATACAGGTTTTATTAGAGTTGAACACATGAACTGTCCTCCAATCCCTGTTCCAATTCATGACACACATTTTCTAAAACTGGACAATACTTTATTTTTAAACTACGAACTGTATTTCTACTAACATCTACTAATTATACATATTAGCAATTTCCACATGTGCACACAGGGTATACCAAATCAGTGGTTTTCTACCTTATTTTTTGTGTACAAGTGTTTTTCCTGCATGTATATGTTTAAATGCACCCCTGTCACGTAATGTCCATGGAGGCCAGAAGAGGATGTCAGATTTCCTGGAACTAGTTTTGGATGGTTGACAGCTGCTATGTGGGTGCTGGGAATCGAACCTGGGTCCTCTCCAAGAGCAGCCAGTGCTCTTAACCACTGGCCATTTCTCTAGCCCTGGTTTTTGTTTGTTTGTTTTTGAGACGGGCTCACTATGTAGCACTGACTGGCCTGTTCTTATGTAGAACAGGGTGACCTTGATCTTATGGAGCTCCACCTGCCTCTACTTCCCTGGTGAGGGATTAAAGCATGTACCACACACCTGACCTCTATGGGAACTTTTCTGAGATAGGGTCTTGCTATGCAATAGCCCAGGCTGGCCTTAACCTTGCAGTCCTCCTGACTGCTGGAACTCTAGGCCCACTCTACATGGCTAGCTTTAGATTAGTGAGCTTCTAAAGGATTTTCAGAGGACTGCTAGAGGAAGTCTTGAAGGTGCTGCCTTTTTCAACTGTGTATCTACGTGAGACTGGATATTCGGCAAATACTGCTACCAAAACAAAATGCAAAGGGCTGGAGAGATTGCTCAGCAGTTGAGAACACTGGCTGCTCTTCCAGAGGACCTGGGTTCGAGTCCCAGTTCCCACATTGCAGCTAACAACTATCCATAACTCCAGTTCCAGGGGCTTTAACACCCTCTTTTGGTCTTTGTGGGCATTGCACACACACGGTGCACTTATATACATGCAGGCAAAACATTCATACACATAAAATTAAAAAATAAATTTTTTTTAAAATGCAGAAGCCTTCATCTAACACAAAGGAAGGATGGAAAACTATAAAACACATTTGTTTCATGAAAGAAATGAGGAAGCACAGAATAGGTAATAGCTCTTTTTCATGAAAATGTAATGTCAGCATATCATGGGTTCATTATTGCTATGTTAACATTAATTACTATTTAAAATTTAATTTCTTTTTTGTCTTTTTGAGACAGAGTCTTCCTGTAGCCCCAGCTGGCTTGGAACTTTCTGAGCAGACCAGGCTGGCCTTTAACTCAAAGAGATCCACCTGCCTTTGCCTCCCAAATGCTAGGATTAAAGGCATGCACCACCTGGCTTAAAATGTAATTTCTAAAATCCTGAATATCAATTCCTGTGAGCAAAAGCTTTCTAAGGTTCACAGTAATTTTTTAGAAAATTCTAAAGAGGGGCTGGAGAGATGGCTCAATGGTTAAGAGCACTGGCTGCTCTGGCATAGAACCCAGGTTCGATTCCCAGCACCCACACGGCAGCCAACAATTGCAGGCAACCCACTCATATGCATAAAATAAAAATAATTAAAATTTAAAAAAAGAAACTTGTAAAGAAGTGTGATACCAAGAGATCATTAGCTCAGTTCCTAAACACTGGCGATTCAATGTAACAGTGCAGTTCTAGCACCCTCCTGAAATATTCAAAGTTCTCCCATGAGCTGCCAGGCATGGTGGCCTATCTGTAATTCCACCCCTCAAGAGACAGAGGCAGGAGGAACACCAAAGTTAAAGGCTAGCCTGGTCTACATAGCCAAGTTCCAGGCCAGCTAGAGTTTCACAGTGAGACCCTGTCTCAAAAAAATACAAAACAGGACAAAATCCTTCCACGACATATAACACAGCAAAATGTGCCATGAGCTCTCTTCATACTTACACTGATTTGGGATCTGTGAACTTGGTCTTCTGCTAAGTGTGAGATGTTCAAAGACAAGGAAGTCACAAACTAGTAAAGAGTCTGCCAAGGTAAACAATGGCACATCAGTATGAGAATGTCTGTAGTATCTAAGTGCCTGTGAACACAGACTGAGTATTTTGGGAGGTGGAGGGTTATGGGGAAAAAAGAGTCAAGGAAGAACTTTTATTAAAAAATAAATACTTTTTCCAGATTTATACATAAAAAGTTCTAATAATCTTCATTGCTCAAGATAAGCTAGTAACTGGTGGAGCCAGCACACGTCAAGTGTCTGTCTGACACCTGTCTAACACTTTCCATCTCTGCTACCATACCACATATGGTAGTGACTTTGGAAAACTGCCTTGAGATAAAAGATGGATATGTCTGAGAGTAGAGATGACTGGAGATTTGAAGTCTAACGTGTGTGTGTGTAATGTGCTTGCTCACTAAGGGGAAGCAAAGTTCTAGCCCTAATCTGCTTCTGTAAGATGCAAGATGTTTCTTCACAATCACCTAAGTCCAATTTCCCTCCAAAATCAAAACAATAGGGCTGGTGAGATGGCTCATCAGTAAAGGTGCAGGCCTGCCATCAAGCCTGGCAACATCAGTTCAATCCCTGGGACCCACTATGTAGGAGACAACTAATTCCCATAAATTTTCCTTTGCCCTCCACATGACATGTGCTCCTCCCACCCCATTAAAAATGTACTTTAAAAAATTTAAAAAAGAAAACAACAATAGAAACAGTCAAACAATTGGATCTAGCCAGCATGGTGGTGCCTACTCATGACCCCAATACTCAGGAAGTCCAGGTAAGTAAGACAACTGTTGAGTTTGAGGCCAGCCTGGCTACAAAACACCCATCCTTAACTCCTGTTCCAGGGATTCCAACACGGTTCTCTGGCCTCTGAGACCACCAAGCATACATGGGTGCACATATATACGTGTAGGCAAAACACTCACATAAAAATAAAAATAAATAAAAGATTAAAAACAAAGCAAAAATAGTTGGAGCATTCAAAACAATTCCTATATTCCAAGGATGGTCCTGGAAATCAATCTTTATTTGGGAACAAAATGGCAATTTGATTAGACTTTAGTTTTTTTTTTAAGATTTTGATAAACAGCTGCTAGGAACTAACTCTAGTCCTCTCTGGAAGAGCAGAACATGTTGTTAACCATCTCTCTAGGCCCTAACAGTATTTTAAGATTCATTTTTATTTTTAAGTTTTGGGTTTTTTTTTTTTTTTTTTTTTTTTTGAGGCAGGGTTTCCCAATAGCTCCAGCTGGCCTGGAATTTGCTATGTAGACCAGGCTGGCCTCAATCTCACAGAGCTCCACCTGTTGCTGCCTCTTGCGTGCTGGGATTAAAGGCATGTGCCACCATGCCTGCCCCTAGACAGCATTTTTAAATCTATCCATTCTTCTGCAATAAAAAAACACATTTAACAACTCAACAATAAGATATCAAGTTAACCAACTTAAAAATGAACGAAAGACATGAGTAAACATTTTTCTGAAGATGATGTACAAAATGGCCAACAGGCCCCCCCCAAAAAATGCTCAACTCCACTAACAACAGGAGATACGCAAATCAAAATCACAATATAGCATCATTTTCTACACATTAGGATGTCTACTATTCAAAAAAACAAACAAAAAAAACTAACCAAAAAAAAAATAGGGAGACGTTCAGAAGGTAAGAGCTCTTCAGCTGTGCTGGTGTACATCTGTAATCCTTGCATTCCCATGGTGAGCTGCAGGGGAGACAGAATTTGCCAGAAGTTCATGGGCCAGGTAGCCTGGAGTAACAGAGCCAGGCCTCAGAAGCAAGGGGGAGGGAGAAAACAAATTCCAGAAAGTTGTTCTGACCTCCACACCCAGAGTGTGAGGCAGGCACACTTTCTTTTTTTTTTTTTTTTTTTTTTTTTGGTTTTTTGGTGGATTGTTTTTTGACAGGGTCTCCCCTCCCTAGTCACAGTTTGCCTAGAAGATCCACCTGCCTCTGCCTCCTGAACCCAACCACATAAACAAACAGAAGCAACAAAAACACACCAACAAAACTGAAGTGCTACTGGGACTGTGAAATCAGAACCCTGAGCACTATCAGTGGGGCTGAAAAATGCCGCACATGCTATGGAAACGGTACGTGGTCCCTCAATAGAGTACCGACGATCTGCCAAATGATCAGCATCCCAATTCTGGGTATATATCCAAAGTCATTAAACACCCATGTTCACAGTGTTAGGGTTCCAAACAGCAGCAGTTTCCCCCCTCCCCAACAGGGACCTCTCCTTGACCTTTGAAGTCAAGGGAAACAAACTCTGCTGAGAAGCAGCCTGCCTTCCCTCTGACCTCCAAAGATACGATAAGCAGATTCTACCTGATAACCAGAGATTTTAGAAGCTGTTTCTCTCTTATCTGAAGAGGGAAAAAGTAAACACTTCCAGACCCTAATCCTACCTGCTTTTCCTGCTTCCCCCTCCCTGATTTCTCCCCCAAAACATTCCCCCCTTCCACACCCTAAAGCCCCCATATATAAAGTCCCAGCTAACAACCCATGGGCTGACATCTTTCCCTTCCCTGACATCTTTCCCTTCCCTGCCCTTCCCTGACATCTTTCCCTTCCCTGACATCTTTCCCTTCCCTGAAGGAAACGTGTCCGGTGCGAAATAAAGCTGTATCCCACTGAGAATTCTATCTGTGCCTCGGTGCCTCATCCATCCGCTCGTGCTCTCTCCAACATTTTTTACCTATCACACAGCAGGACTAAGATTGAAGATCATCAATCCAGAGCACATTAAGGAGTTCAATGGAAAAAAATGGCTCAGATAAACTATCTAGGTCTTGGATTTGGACAAAAACAAAATAAAACAAACGGGAAACCAAAACAAAAGCCTGCTAAACTCCTCATGGCCTTTTCCTTCTCCTCCTTTACCACACGTGCTGCTGAAAACAGCTCACCATTCAGGGCAAAAAATGTTAAAGAGAAAGCAATCACTGTGGAGCAGAAGGCAGAGCCAGAAAACAGTTCCTGAGCTGGAATCTGCAGAAGCCACAGACATGTAACAAAACAGAGCATGCACACAAGCACCACACCCCAAGAACACAGCTTTTATTTACACAAAACCTACACAAAGATTCAACTGTGAGATAGCAGCCACAGCAGATCAGGGACTCAGGAGCAGACACTGAATACTTACCAGTAAGGGACCCACCTATATATCTGCATAAATGAAGTGTCCGCATGATGCAAATCACAAGATCATTCAAACTAAAGGGTTATTGGGGCCAAGAGGTTGCTGTCAGTCAAGTGCTGCCACACAAGCATGAAGACCTGAGTTCAGATCTTCAGCAGCCATATAAAAGCCATGTGCAGCAACACCCATCTGGAATCCCAGCACTGGGGAAGTGGAGGCAGGAGGATCTCTAGAGCTTGCTGACCAGGCAGGCTTACTGAGTCAGTGAGCTCTAGGTTCAGTGTGAGTCTGTCTCAGAAAACAATGTGGAGAAGATAGAGAGATGGCACAGAACACACTGTTCTTGCAGAGGACATGTTCCCAGCACCAGTCATAAGCACCTATAACTCTAGCTCCAGAGAGATCAGAATTGCATAGGCACCTGCACTCATGTGCATATACCCACATGCAGGCACACACATACACATATAATTACAAATAATACAAACAAATCTTTAAAGAAAGTCAGAGAGCAACTGAGGAAGGCCTCCCATGTGGACCTCTGGCCCCCACACTCACATGCACCCACGTGTGTACATATACTTACATATACATGCATACACACACACGGACTTAGATTAATCAATTTTGAGCTTTAAGGATATTCAATATTCAATTTCTGATATGGTGCTGTGAGGCGATAGCATCATATGAGAAATGCATTTATTTCTTTTTGGTGCTAGGGATTGAATCCAAAGCCTCATGCATGTATCACATGTTCTCCTACTGGGCTATACCTCCAGGCCCTGAGAAGAGATTTAATAACTGAGCATCATAGTGTAGCAACAGAGTATTGGCTGTTTACCTTCATGATTACATGGCTAACTGGGAGCTATGGCTCACTGCTGCTGCCTTGTATCTCAAAAGAGTATAGTCCCACCTCTAAGAGCCAAGGAAGAATAAAGTGCAGTTTCCATCCAACACATCTATCTATCTATCTCTCTTTCTCTCTTTCTCTCTCTCTCTCTCTTTCTCTCTTTCTTTCTTTCTTTGAGACAGGGTCTCCCTATAGCCCCAGCTGTCCTGGAACTCACTATGTAGACCAGGCTGGCCTTGAACTCACAGAGATCCACCTGCCTCTTCCTCTCGAGTGCTGGGATTAAAGGTGTGTGCCACCACATCCGGCAACACATAGTACTTTTTTAAAAAAAAATTTATTTATTATTTTTATTTTATGAGTGCACTGCCTGCATGTATGTGAGTGCACCCGTGTCATGCAATGCCTTGGAGGTCAGAAGAGGGCTTTGGATTCCCCTGGAACTGGAGTTAAGGAAGGACGGTTCGTAGCCACCATGTGGGTGCTGGGAATCGAATCTGGGTCCTCTGCAAGAGCAGTCAGTGCTCTTAACCTCTGAGCCATCTCTCCAGCCCCCACGTATTACTTTTGCATAATCAAAAAAATCAAAATAGAGCTGAGGATGTAGCTCAGTGGTAAGTCTCTAATACTGCACCCCCAAACAAGTCATTATAGGTCAAAGATTATCTGCAGTACATAATTTCCATCCTTATAACGTGGAGCTGAGGCCTCCGAGACTATGGAGTAATATTTTTTTTAGCTAAATAACATTGGCTAAGGGTTGTTTTTGTTGTTTATTTAGTCTTTTGTGCCAAGGATTGAACCTAAGGCTTCTTGTGTGCTCAGCCATGGCTCCACCACTGAGCCATCCTCTCAACCACCATTTGATAGCATTGTAAGTTTCCCATCACTGTTCCTAATAATCCCAGTTTTAAATTTTAGTACTATTTTCACATCAAGTTCCAATGTCAGTGATCCACTAGTTTTTTAAAAGGAAATCTATGATTTTTCTTTTCTTATGCTATGGAACAATTTAAATTTTAGCAGCATTATCTGTTCCTAAAGTTTAAGAGAATTCACCTGTGACAGTGGCTCCCAGTGTGGAGGGTGACAGCTTTTTGGTAATTTTCCCACTTTTCTCCATGTTAGCTTTGCTAGGCTCTCTCTTCTGAAGTCAATTTGATGACTGGGTCTCCTTTAAAAAAAGTAAAAATAAAATCTCTGTATTCTTGCAAAGCACGTGTTTTTAAAAGATATTTCTAACGGGACGTGGTGGTGCTTGCCTGTAATCCCAGCACTCGGGAGGCAGAGGCAGGTGGATCTCTCTGAGTTCGAGGCCACCCCATCTACAAAGTGAGTTCCAGGCCAGCTGGGGCTACAGGGAGACCCTGACTCAAAAGGACAAAAAAAATAAAAAAAAGATATTTCTAACCCTGTGTATTTATATTCCCTTTTTCTTAAGCAGATTAACCAGTAATTTAACTTATGATTCTCTATGCCCAACAAAGAACCAGCTCTACATTGATGGTAAACACTCTTACCCACTGAGTCATCTACCCAGCTCTTAAGTAAAAAATTTAAAACTGTATGATGTGGTTCCAAACCTGTGTGGAATATCTAACTAAATCCTTTCCTTTTAAAAATTTTATTTATTTTTAATATTTTATTATTTTTATGTGTATGAGTGTTTTGCTTGCATGTATGAAAGTGCACCCATGTTGTGCAATGCCCATGGAAGTCAGAAGAGGGCATCAGGTCCCCTGGAAGTGGAGTTAAGGATGGTTTGTTAGCCATCTGGGAACTGAATGCAAGAGGTTAAGAGTGCTCTTAACCACTGAGCCAACTCTCCAGCCACCCCCCCACATTTATTTATTTATTTATTGAGACAGAGTCTCCTGAAGCCCCTGCTGGCCTTGAACTCACAGAGAGCCACCTGCCTTGGCCTCCCAAGCACTGGGATTAAAGGCAAACATTACCACACCTGACTCTTTCCCTCTCAATGTACTGAGACTTTGTAACTTACTATGATGAATTTTACAAAATATCCTATAGGCACTTGAAAAGTCTGCCAGAGTTTGCTAATAAATAAGTACTTAAGTCTCCAATATCCTTATTCTTTACTGTTTCAGCTAATAGGCAGGAGGTAAAAACTTTTATCAGTTTGAGACCAGACCTTGCTTTATAGCCTAGCCCAGGCTAGCTACAAACTCACAATCCTACCATGCCTGTCTAAAAACTCTTAATTAGTATTATACTTGCCAATCTAAGATTAACTAATGTTTGTTGATCTTAGATTAACCAGTATTTTTAAAAAATATTATTTTTATTTTATGTGTGTGTATGGCCTGCAAGTGGGTAAGTGCACCCGTGTCGTGCCATGCCCGCTGAGGACAGAAGAGGCTGTCGGATCCCCTGGGACTGGAGTTACGGACAGTTGTTAGCTGCCATATGGGTGCTGGGATACAAACCTGGGTCTTCTGCAAGAACAGTCAGTGTTCTTAACCACTGAGCCATCTCTCAAACCCCCAGAGTAACCAGTATTTTTTTTTTTAATATTTTATTTTATTTTATTTTTGGTCTTTTTGAGATAGGGTCTCCCTGAAGCCCCAGCTGTCCTAGAACTCACTATGCAGACCAGGCTGGCCTTGAACTCACAGAGATCTGCCTGCTTCTGCCTCCCAAGTGCTGGGATTAAAGGCGTGCGCCACCATGCCCGGCTTATTTTTATTATTTTACATGTATGAGTGTGTTGCCTACATGGATATGAGTGCGCCTGTGTTGTGCAATGCCTCGGGAGGTCAGAAGAGGGCTTCAGATTCCCCTGGAATTAGAGTTAAGGTCGAACCCGGGTCCTCTGCAAGAGCAGTCAGTGCTCTTAACCGCTGAGCCCTTAACCAGTATTTTTCAAACAAAAACTTAGCACAGAAATGCCTGATGCATATGTAATGCCTTGCTTCTTTTTTTAGCTTCATAGTCAATGTTAATCAACAAAATCACTTAATGTACATGATCACACAATAGTCTAACAGTTCTTACATACTGAACACTTTATTTATTTACAAAAGCATCTCACTAAATAGCCAGGGCTAGCCCAGAACTCAATATGTAGCCCAGGCTGGTCTCAAAATCTCCACCTCCTGATTCCAGCTCCCAACTGCTGGGATTACAGCTATTTGCCACCATGCCCAGCAACCATCTAAAAGCTGGAAAGAACCAAGTTTCTTGTACATTGCAACAACAAAAATTTTATTCAGGACTAGGGATGTTCACAAGAGCACTTACCTATTATTTGTTCAATTTCTCAACACTGCAAAACAAACAAAAGGCCATGTTCACTTTCCATTTTTACTGAAATGATTCTTGTGTTATTTTACAAAAGTTTGCAAATTAAAGTTGCTCCATCCAGTCAGTCTGTCATGACTCTGTAATAATGGGGACTTGTTAGTTAGCAAATAGAAAACTAATTAGCCAGTTATGTATCAACCACTCTATCCACCTATCTCCAGAGATTTTAGGAAAACTGTTGTACATTTAGATCATTGGATTTTGAAAGTTTTATACAGGAAAAAAGTCATGTTATAAAAACCTCCCAGAATATCCACAGGCTCGGAAGCTTTACTAATCTTCACCCCACCCACCAGTATGGTGTGACTAGGTTCTTAATGTAGGAACAGAAGGAAAGACAGTGTGCAGAGTTCTGATAAGAGTTTAGAACATGACAGTGGACAAGATGACTCGTTAGGTAAAGGAGCTTGTTGCCAAGCCCAACAACCTGAGTTCAATCCCAGGGAATCCATAGGGTAAAAGGTAAGAACTCCTCTAAGTTCTCCTCTGACCTCCACATAAGCTCATTACACCCATACACTTACACACACTTCACACACACAGACGTTTAAAAACAAGTTTAGTACATGGCATGTTTGATTACTACATTGTGACCATAGCTATGTAAACCTTGCTAACCAATCTCTAAATTAACATAGATAATCCTTTGCAATTTATTGCAACATTTATTTACCATAACTACACTAGTTCGCTACCTAAAGACCTAACATCTCAACATAAGGGAGCCAAATTCACAACATCGAATTTCAAGTAATAGCAACGGTCAAACTTCTGTGACATAAGAAACAGTGTAAACTCTAAATACTCAATGGAATTTGCAGCCCACACAGATACACTAGACCCAGAGTAACCTCAGTACAAAATTCTTTGTGTAAAAACAGGGCAGAGGGTGACTGTAATTCTCAAAGGATGTGAATTTCCATTAGTCAGCTGGTCTGAGTCAGCATTCAAAAGGTTAGTCAGGGTTTGAATACTAGTTAAGGCACGATTCTGCCACTGTGAATATAAAGCAAGGCCTGTGGCTTTAAAATCCACTAATCTGAACTTCTATCTGCCAAATGAGACCAGAGTCAACGCGTGTCACAAGTGTTTTCTACCTGAGATATGCTAAGGGTGACTTCAGTTTGTTTCACCTGTGCCCTGGCCCCAGTGTGGGACTCAGGCATGTCAGCACCTTTGATTCTATGAATCTTTTCCAAAGTAAAGGCGCAGGAGGTCCATTTTGACACGGTCACTCCACAAGTATTTCACAGACTAGTTTCACAGAGTACAGGTAAACAAACACAAGGCGGGAATTAGGACCACCAACAGGGCAGAACAGTAAGGAACAAAACAAAGGTTATGCCCAAGGGGTAAACATGGCTGGGGCTTTGACATTCTCTACCTAAACTTGATTCTCATCATGCAGAAAGAGACGAACAATTAACACCCCCACCCCGCGGAGCTCAGTTCCACTGTTTGTTACAAGGCGATGCAACATGGTGTCGCAGAACAAGCGCTGCACAGGCTTCCATTTGTCCACTTCGTGAGAAGGGACTGGCGCTGGGCAGAATGGCCGGGGCCTCGTGGAGCAGGCCGGACTGGCATCTCCAAGCCCGCGGCTTCCGCATGGCGCAGACAAAGCCGGCCCCTCCCCGGCCTGCGGCTCCAGTGCCCAAAGCGTGCAGACACCTCCCCGGGGGCGCATCCCCCGCCGAGCGCACTGCTCCGACAGCAGGCCCTCCGCGTATGCTCGCAGCTTATCACGCCCGCGAGTCAGGGGCAGGAGGGGTGCGACCGCGACGGGGGGAGGCCCTGCTCCAGCCGTGCCTCGCCACCAGCCTCAGGCCGAGGGCATCGCCGGGCTCCACTCCCCTCCTCGCACTCACCCATGGCCGCGGGCACCCGCCCCACGCCCGGAGCCGCCCGCCCGCAGGACGGCAGGCGAGCGGAGCCCGCGCCCGCGCAGGCGCAGACCTGGCCGACCTGGGCTGGGGCGGGACGGGGGGGG